TTACTATGATGAGATAGAAATACATTAAACATGCAAATTATGAAAAAGTTTCGTTTTCGTTTCGATTTCTGTTTTTGCCGCCCCTTGAAAATTCCAGCCATGTGCGGTGCACGTTTTGTACACCTGCACCCGGTGGCTATGAGGCAGCGCTTTTCAAACTCTTTTCTCTCTCTCTCTCTCTAAAAAAATTAAGTGTTCATCACTTTGAAATGTGGGAGTGAGCAGCATCAATCCCAAGTAAATTTGTCATCTAAATAATCCGTAACCGTGTAGTAAGCATTTTCACACAGTTTTTGTTTTACATGAATTTATTAACACGTAAGCTTGGAATTTTTTGGAATGGAATTTGTTTTTTTTTTCATTTTTTTGGATTTTGGAAGTGTCTTAGATACCAGACGGGTAAATGAATATATCGTAAAAATAAAAGAAATACTATATTTTCATCAGGCTTCGGCTACGTTGCCGCGTTGTAAGCCCTCCGCGGTTTCTATATCGTAGTTCAGAACCATTTTTTATCCTTAGTTACACTTCTAGAGAAATTGTTATTCGTAGTACAAGATATTATAAAATATTCCACACGAGTAAATTTATTGATGATCGAGTATATTTTGTCTTTAGTTAATAAGAACTTGTACCTATACTGTCTTTTACATTGAAAAACAACATCACTTCTATTATATGATATTTATCATTTGCGCTGAACTGAATCAAAGTTCAAACGATTAGATTCAAATCAGACAGCAGAGTTGTATTAAATTAAGCAGGTCATTTTGAGTATAAATGTTTTCAAAGACTTTCTTCGTCCGTCCCTTCGAAATGAAATACGAGGACTGAAGCGTTGAAACCTTTCACAACCCGGTTTACAATGCTGTAGAACCCAGTTTAAATGAATAGAGAATTCATTAAAACCACCCGGTTCTTGGTGAGTAAGAAGTATCCGCCAAATCCTGGACATCATTTCTGTCAACCACGTGCCTAAACTAGAAGGAGTGGATACACGCTCATCTCAAAAACACGACACATCTTAGTAAAGCGGTTTCGTTCCATACCAAGACAGAGGTGATGATGAAATGGCTCAACGCATAAGCCATTTAAGTAATTTTAACAGAAGTATTCTTTCTTACGGTCCTGAAGACTTAGAGAGTGAAAACAATTCAGTGACTTTTAACAAATTTTTAGATGTATAAGTAGACGTACAAATTGAAATTAAATGTAAATCTTAGAGATACTTACTAAAAATACCGCCTGATAGGGTGCAAAATATCTAGCAGATCCTTTAGCACACAACCATAACATATTATGAAAGGCATCCGTGCAGTTATCTGCAAATGGATGCAACAGATCCTTACATGTTAACGTAGTTAAATCACTCCTATTTTGAATCAAAATCTTACTAATTTCTACCATTATCACGAGATATTTACAATAAGGATTAAAATTTATTTGTAAATTCTGTTCGGTTCATTACTGTTCGAATTCTTAGTGACTGCTTAAAGCAAAATATTATTCCTACACCAGCAATGCCATTAATGTCTTTGGCACAAAGTTCAACACAAATTTAAATTTAAAATAGGGTTAGAGATGTGTGGCAGAAAACACTGCAAGGGATTCTCCGCACTAAGTGAAATCCGTGATAGATTCAATTATTTTTAAACTAAAATATTCAATTGACTAATACTATAGCTTATTATATTTAAATCTAGGTTTTTAAAACAAAACAATACCTCGCAAACGACTACAAAGTAAAATATTAAAAATAAATAAATAGTTTCCACCGTTAACCCATCTGTTCGTCTGCCCCCTCTAACATGAAAAAAAATACATACATATTATTTTTAACACATTTAAATTGATAAATAAAGAATTACGAATTTATTGAGGAAGTCTAACGATAAAAGTCCTTTCTCTTCATAATAAAGTTTTTTAATTAGAAAAGAAAGGACGAGCAGGCAGGTCACCTGTAGGAAAGTGACCATTGTCGCCCATGAACCTCTGCAACTCAGGAGTCATAAACGCGTTGCATCCGTGCGAAACCGGGTGGACGGTATCCGTCCACCCGGTTTGAAGGTTTGAATGAAGACAATTTTTTTTTAAACACAGGCTTTACACTTCTTTACCTACTATGTTCCTCCAAACATACGGAACCATTTTTACCTTACCTGCTTATTACTGAAGCTGTTTTTAAAATTAATGAGAAATCTTCATAGTTCACACTCATTCTTTAAATATGTAAAAGTTATTGTTGTTTGACATTCATTATTGAAGAGATACATAAAAACAAACCGTAGGTAAAAAGTCTAAGAGTTAAGTTGGTATATTTACAATCATTATAATCAAACAGATAATATTTTGCAATGCAGTTGCAAAATAACAGTTGTACAGTTGGCATAATTAAAAATACCTGTTATTTATGTAGTATAGGAAGTTAGGTATGAAAATATGTTACGTCGTTGGCGCACAAAGGGAAGCAAGGACTAAATTTAATGTGGCTGTTGGCGGGAAAACCTAGTAGCGGTATTATTTATAATGAAATGTGTAAAACAGGAAAGATATAAGAAAGAGACAGGAAGAAATAAAAAGGGATATAAGTAAAGATTTTAGCAATTTCTGGAAGAATACCAAGAAAATGAGTGACAAAACATGAATTTCTGTAAGCGTCGGCGGCGTTCACGATCATAAAATGATTGTTGATCTATTTAGACAGCAATTTTCTGTGCAGCCGCTTTTGAGTACAGCATTCTGTGAAGGTGTTGGGACCAATGTGACTAAAAACCGAAATCCTTTTTCTATCAAAAGTGTGGCTCGAGTCATTAGTACGAGTAACATGTAAGGGGGCAAATCGCCCGGTCACGCTGGTGTCAGCATTGAACACTTTAGAAATGCTGGTGCTCACCTGCCAAGAGTGCTGGCGATGCTTTTAACCTGTGCCTGGGTTACTCTTACTTTACCGAATCCTTGATGCGTACAACTGTGGTAAAAATTAAAAAAAAAAATGCTGGCTCCCTCGAGAAGCGCTCTAAGGGTGCTGTTGGGCATATGTGAGACATATGCTAAAATACATGGGCTATAACATAATTCCAAAAAAAGTAAGTTACTCATAATAAAATCAAAGAAACATCGGCCGACTCAACGCCGTCAAGTTATATCTAAGGCACATCCTTCGGTATAACTTGACGGCGTTGAACTAAAGCGGGTTGACAAATTTAAATACCTACATCATATTGTGATCGATGACCTCAGAGATGACGAGGACATAGAGAGAGAGCGCAGGGCGTTGGCAGTGGGAAGCAACCTGCTCGCTCGCAGGTTTGCTCGATGTACACATGAAGTTAAGATAACGCTTTTTAAAGGTACAGGCGCTGCGGTACAAATCTACCTAACTACCTAACTTTAAAGAACAAAACGATATTTTGGAAGAGCAGAGAAGTCGCTCGCAATTGTGGATGCAAGTACGTGTGGACCAATAATGCGACTGTATTGTTACGTGTACGCGATGGTACCCCGGGGCGTTCGCTGTTCGTTCCGAAGAGGACTTTAACAAGTTCTCTCAAAAACATAATGCCTGCTTTTCAGGTTCATATTATGAAAAACAAATATTTACCTATTCAGATATATAAATAATATAAATAAATATAGGTATGGCCAAGTAGTATTGATTAATATAATAAGCTCTTGTTATAAGATAAGATAAGATAATTTATTTATTCGCGCAAACACATGAGTACAAACATAATCAATCGCATGCAAGTCATTAAGCTGGAAAAAGTTCAAGACATGTTTGCCATATACAATGAAGTGCGAATGCAAATCTGATTTAATTAATCATGATAACTTTAAATAAATTTCCACCAGTGATCTATTTCTATAACTTGAACTGATTAACAGATAACATTATATGTGAATATATTAATGAAGTAATAATTAGCAGTCTATAATTAATAACATCTACAAAGTCTACAATGTCAAAGTAAAACTTATATTAACTCTTAATACTACGTCAAAAGTATCTAATTAGGCACTCAATTATGTCAAATCATATTTTTCATTTATAAAGTCATTAACATTATAATAGGCTATTTGAACAAGAAATGTTTTTTACTTTTAGCTTAAATGCGTCGCTACTTAAATCTTTCCAACGTTTGGGAAGTTTTTTATAAACATTTGGAGCCATGCAAATAACATTTTTACGCATAAGTGCAGTCTTAGAGGTATGCAAACAAAGTTTATTTTAATTGAGTCGATTTCGGGGAATAATATCTGTAATACAAAGAGTCGTTGTTAATGGATACCTCTCTGACCCTATAGTCGTTAGCTGAGGAGTTCCACAGGGGTCGATAATAGGTCGGCTACTTTTTATAATTTTTATCAATGACATAAACCATTCTTTTATGCACTCGAACTTCTTAATGTACGCGGACGATATTAAAATTTATAAAACATGCAAAAATATTCAAACATATACATATTAAATAAATAAAGCATTTTGCCAGTCCTTCTACTCGAGTTGGTAAGGTAAGGTATACGTGGCGATCCTACGACACTCTGCGTATTCAGTATAACTGTTAGTAAGTAAATTTGAATATTGGAAAGAATTGTGGTCATATGTTACGAAAAATGCTATTGGTCCGCCATTTCTGTCTCTGGACCAATCAGAACACTCGTTTTTGTTTGCTACCATGTTTTATACAAGATTATTGTTTGTCACTTAGACCATGCTGTTCATTAAAACCTTAATATTAAAACTCAGTGTTTAAAACAGTTTGTGTGTGTCATAACTTAAAACCTTAACATAAAACAGTTTGTGTGTGTCATAACTTAAAAAACCTTAACAGGTTATGGGCCCAGATTACGTTTATACTGAAGCGCTAAGCAGTGTTTGTAAAGTGGTCATAAAAACAGTGAGTAAAACCTAAAAACCAGTGACGGTGATAGAACAAGTGAAAATTGAGTTTTATCACACAGATTGTAAGTAAAAAAAAAAAAAGAAAGTTTTCTGCAACATGTCTTCAAATCAGATCGATGATGTCTCACATATTGAAAAACTGAGCGGTGTTGACAATTTCCATGTATGGAAATTACAAATAGACATCGTTTTTCAATCTGCCGGTATCGATGACTTTGCCTTGGGAACGATAAAACAGGAGAATTTGAGTGATGAAAAGGACAAAAAAGAGTTCATAAAAAAGGATGCTCGTGCTAAAAAAGCGATAATAACCTCAGTTAGTAAGACTGTGTTGTGTCACATATTACACTGCAAAACATCAAAAGAAATGATGGACAAACTAATCAAGGTTTATGATCGACAAAATGAAGATCAGGTGAATGAACTTTTACAGAAGGATTTGAGGAAATTCTTCTTCCTCCTCTTCTTCTGCAGATTCAAAATTTTTATGATCAGTCTCATTTAAGTAATTTTCAGTTGTCGATGATTCATTTTCTGTTCCATCTTCTGTATTGTAAATGAGGTTATCCGATTCTTCTGTGTTTTTTCGAGTAGATAGTTCTGTATTTTCTTCTTTGGATTCTTCAGGCGTCTCTTCTGTCTCCAGAGCAATGGTGACATCCTCATAGTTTGTCTCATTTTTATTTGTAGTCTCAGTAATCTGATCATCAAATATTACATCTCGAGAATAGATAATCTTTCGAGCATTTTCATCCCACAAGCGGTATCCATTTGGCGAATAACCAACATGACGATACTTATTACTTCGACTGTCTAGTTTCTTGAGCCTTGTGAGATTTTTAGCATAAGCTGCACATCCAAAAAGGTGCATTTTATTGTAGTCAGGTTTCTTCCCAAACCACATCTCATAGGGAGTTTTTAAATCAGGAAGGCTTTGTGTTACACATCTATTTAATATGTAGCATGCAACTCTAGAGCATTCTCCCCACATGTCAGCAGGCAAATGTGAGTCATAAAGAAGTGCTCTGGTTTTATCCATTAACGAACGGTTGAGTCGTTCGGCTTTGGCATTTAGTTGAGGCGTATGTGGAATTGTGAAATCAAATATGGTGCCTCTGGATTTTGCCCAATTCAACAAGTTTTCATTAGAAAATTCGCCCCCATTATCAGCACGAATTTTATACACAGGCAAAGTCCATTTTGACTCCACTTCTGCTACATATTGTTTTAGAGTTTCAGTAGTATCAGATTTTCTTTTCAACAAATAAATTTGTTTGAAACATGTAAAATCATCTTGGAATGTTAAAATGTAAGTATATCCATCCCATGTAGGTTTCTCAATTTGGCATATGTCTGTATGGATAATTTCTAGCGGTCGAGTTGCTCTGGTGCGCTCTGTAGAAAATGGAAAACGAGTCTGTTTTGCCTTCAGACAGACTTCACAAGTGTTTTCTGTGATTTTTAAGTCAGTCTCTGTTATTCCTAAATTATTTTCTTTGTTAAGTTCTTTTAAATTTTTATAGCTGAGATGTCCCAGAGTTCTATGCCAATACACAGCATCTTTCTTTCTTGAATTTTGTACTTGGAAACATGTCAGTTGTTCAGGAGCATCTGAAGTGAGTTTTAAAACATACAAACCGTTAGCTTGTTTTTCTCCTTTTAGAACATGGTTGTTTTTGGAGATCACAACATTTTCTTTGGTAAAAAGTACTTGACCACCATTTTCAGTTATGGCTCCAACTGATATGAGGTTGCTGTCAAGACATGGAGCTAGTATGACATCTTTAAGAATACATTCTTTGGCATCCAAAGTTCCAACACCAGTAGTAGGTAGGGACTGATTTTTCTTAGCAACTTTAACTTCATCATGTTCAATTTTAAAGTTTGACAAAATAGAGGGTTGATTTGTCATATGAGATGATGATCCGCTGTCTACATAAAATTTTAATTCATTGGTATTGCAATTTTCTGATCTTTGAGTTAAGTATGCAACTTTGTCTTTAACTTCCATTTCTCTTTTCTCATGCTCAGCACGGAAAAAACATCTTTCCGACTTGTGATTAGTCTTTTTGCAGTACCTGCATTTTTCTTTAGCATCTTGAATTGATTTCTGCACTGGACATGCATTTTTGAAATGACCTGGTTGTTTACATTTGAAACAGGTGGGGGGTTTTTCACTTTTCTTCAGGTAGGACTTTTTCTGTTTAGAGGTTTGAAAAGCAACATTTTCACTGGTTCTAGGTTTTCCAATATTATTTTCTTCAGCAAAGAGTCGAGTCACAAGATTGTCCACTGTGCGATCATCCTTAGCTACAGAACCCCAAGCTGTACGAAATGTTGCATATTCAGGAGGTAAAACAGCAAGAATTTTGGATATAATCATCTCATCTGTGATATTCTGCTTAAGAGCCGTCAGACGAAAAGCTATATTTTGTATAGTGCTAATATTATGAGCCATATCACGCGATTTGTCAAAGTTATGCGCATAAAATTTCTGTAAAAGTTCATTCACCTGATCTTCAAAAATTTTGAATCTGCAGAAGAAGAGGAGGAAGAAGAATTTCCTCGTAGAGGACAACGTAACAGACGACCCCCTAATTATCTTCATGATTATGTTCTGCTCACATACCAGGAAGCTGTAGACGGTCCGGATTCAATTGAATGGAAGAAGGCCATAAACAGTGAAAAATACTCGCTTAAAAAATATGGTGTTTTTAAATTTATACCTCCTAAAGACATTAAAGATAAGAAACTTCTAAGCAGCAGATGGGTATTTCGAAAAAAGGAAAATGGTGATTTCAAAGCAAGGCTAGTTGCACGAGGATGTGAACAACGAGAAGGGGACTATTATGAAACCTACAGCCCTGTCGTAAACACCAGCATACTTCGTTTCTTGCTTGCTTATGCAAAAGCTACTGATAAAACCATTATGACTTTTGATGTTTCCAGCGCTTTTCTGTACGGAAATCTATCTGAAGAACTGTATATGAAACTTCCAGAAGGATTTGAGGAAGAACAATGGAAGATTTGCCTTCTACAAAAATCTTTATATGGCCTCAAACAAGCTCCCATAAACTGGAACAAAACTTTAGTTGATTTTTTGAATAAGAAAGGACTAAATCAGCTCATCTCAGACAGATCAGTTTTCAAAAACAAGGACAATTCACTTATCTTGGCCATACATGTAGATGATGGACTTGTAATCGGGAACAATCCTGATATTATCATGAAATTTTTAATAGAACTAAAAACAAAATTCGACATCACCTTCGAAAAAGAGCCTAAAATCTACCTTGGAATGGAACTTGAAAATGATAAAGAAAACCTGGTTCTTCATCAAACTAAATATGTCGACAAAATTCTTAAAGAATTTAATATGGAAACTGCTAAAAGCGTCAGAACTCCTTCAACTCCAGGATCCATTGCTAGCCTGACACCTGACAGAAAGTATCCATATCGTGAGGCTGTTGGAAGTTTATTGTACCTATCAAGCCGAACCAGACCTGACATTACTTTCTCTGTAAATCAGGTTTCAAGGAGCATTGAAAACCCCACCGAAGCAGATGTTTTAAGAGTAAAACGCATATTTAGATATCTTCAAGGTACGAAAGATGTTGTCATAAAATATTTGAAAGACAAGGACTTCACACAGATTGATTCATATTGTGATTCTGACTTTGCCAATGATGAGAAAACTCGACGAAGCACTGGAGGTTACATCATACTTTACTGCGGTGGTGCCATCTCCTGGTCAACTAAACGTCAGACGAATATTGCTACAAATACCGCTGAAGCTGAACTCATAAGTGCAAGTGAATGTGTAAAAGAAGCATTATTTCTAAAGCAGTTTTTCCAAGAGCTTACTAATAAAAATTTAAATGTAAATTTGTACATTGACAATCAAAGCACAATTAAGATGATTAAAAACGGATGTAATGGAAAAAGGTCAAAACACATTGACATTAAGTATAAATTTACTGCTGAAAAAATTAATCAGAACAATTTTGTTGTTAAATACTGTCCATCTGAGGATCAGTTAGCAGATGCTTTTACTAAGTCATTGACTCCCATTGTTTTTGAAAAATTAAGAAATAGGTATTTGCATTTTTCATGTAAAACTGGACAATGAAATGATAACATTTAAGTTTTGAATTTGAAATTTATCTGTATGTTTTCTTGTGAATTTTATGAATATTTTAAAACTTGATATGACAGATGTATGTTAGATTTTAAAATTGATTGACTACAAAATTTAAAATAATGTTACAAAACAATATATTGCTTAATTTTTAAACTTTTAAATTGAAAGATTTGAATGATGCCATTATTATATTTATACTATTTGACATTATTTTTGACAGATTTTTTTTTGTAACATTGTTATTACTGATTCAAATTTAAGGGAGAATGTTAGTAAGTAAATTTGAATATTGGAAAGAATTGTGGTCATATGTTACGAAAAATGCTATTGGTCCGCCATTTCTGTCTCTGGACCAATCAGAACACTCGTTTTTGTTTGCTACCATGTTTTATACAAGATTATTGTTTGTCACTTAGACCATGCTGTTCATTAAAACCTTAATATTAAAACTCAGTGTTTAAAACAGTTTGTGTGTGTCATAACTTAAAACCTTAACATAAAACAGTTTGTGTGTGTCATAACTTAAAAAACCTTAACAATAACAATGCTTTCAGAATGTGGTTGAGGCTCCCGCGACGCTGTAACGCCTCCGGAATGATTGCCGAAATGCAAACTGACTGATTCAAGGCGATAATTCGTAAAAAAAATAGCTTTCATCTTGCAGCGTCTACGGAACACCAAAAACAGCATTCTGAAAGTCATTGCTACAAGGTTCCACTGCCATCTTTAAAAATATTTGGTAAAGGTAGTTACAGGTTTAATATAGAATTAATTTAATTTAATGATACTAATAATACTAACTTAATTATAAGCAAATTGTCACTAATACACTAACTCTATGGACTGCACCACTAAGGTCTGAAATAAATGATTATTATTATAATTATTATTTACATAAGATGCTAGCTAAATATGTCTTGGACCAATTATATTGTATCCACTACATCTTTAATGCCATATTTCTTTCAAATAAATTAAATACAAAATACCGTGCAACAAATCTATCGAGCTACATAATTCCAACGTACACTGTAACAAAACTACATCGCGATTTGCGTTTATCGAATTGTGTGCGTTACCCCAGCAAAATAATGTCGAAAATGGTCATTTAAACGTTATAGATAATTAGTTGCCCCCCTTCTTTAATTGTAAGCACATTTTTAAATTTGTTTTACTTATTTTTTTTTAGTTATTTGAAAAAAACATTTCCTGCTGGGGTAACGTTTGAAACGTTACGGCAGCCAGACATTTTCTTTTTTAATTGGAATATTGAAATAAATATTAGCTAAATAATTTGTTACCTGGACGAGGTAAATGTTACAACTTATTTGGTATTTGTATTTTCTTCGGCTGCGAAGTTATTCGAGATCCTGCTGGAGTAACGTTTGTGGGTTTTGCTGGATCTCTGAAACGGGTGAGCGGATTGTAAACATATTTTGTACATAACTTCTTAATGATTAGTTTTAATTTGTTTAACAATAAAAAAACAAAAATAATTGACCGTTTAAAAATTATTTAAGTATGAAAACACTTCAACATTTTAAAAGACAGCACAATGTAGCGGGTGATCGCTTTTTTGTAACCACCTAAACATGGTCATGTTACCACGGTCTTGCACCTTCTAATGACTTTTATTTAATTATCTCGTAAATTATTATATGTACGACGCTGAATTTTTACAGTTAGATGACTGAACTAAACAACTAATTAATTGGCATAACATTCAGTTTATATATCCACACACAGGTTTATCGGTGGCCAAAAAACTTTTTAGTCACATACAGTATACTTACGAAAATTCGTATACATTTGAAGGCAGTTACAAGCAATAGAATAACGTTTAAAGTAAGTCTTTAGAGGTCTTATTCAAAGTGTTAGGACGTATTGAAGCGTTTTCATACTTACTTAAATAATTTTTAAACGGTCAATTATTTTAGTTTTTTTATTGTTAAACAAATAAAAATTTATCCTTAAGAAGTTATGTACAAAAGATGGTTACAATCCGCTTACCCGTTTCAGAGATCCAGCAAACCAGCAAACGTTACTTCAGCAGGATCTTGAATAACTTAGCAGCCGAAGAAAATACAAACACCAAATAAGTTGTAACATTTACCTCGTCCAGGTAACTAATTATTTAGTTAATATTTATTTCAATATTCCAATTAAGAAATAAAATGTCTGGCTGCGGTAACGTTTCAAACGTTACCCCAGCAGGAAATGTTTTTTTTAAATAACGAAAAAAATTAAGTGAAACAAATTTAAAAATGTGCCTTACAATTACAAAACCTTTTGTAATTGTAAGGCACATTTTTAAATTTGTTTCACTTAATTTATCTATGACTAATTATCTAAAATGTTTAAATGACCATTTTCGACATTATTTTGCTGGGGTAACGCACACTATCGAATTTGTTTGTATAATGAAGTCAGCTAGTTTGCAGAGGAGTAGATCAATTAGTTGAACTCGTTGTCTATACTACGTGTTATGTCAACGGCATGCCGATCATCTGTAATGTGTTTGACGGTGTCTAAGGTCACAGTCAGTTTTATGGTCCATGGTCCATGGTCACGAAATCAAGTATCTGTATAGGACTCCTATTACTTTGAGACACTCGGCGAAAAATAAGAAGACGATTTCGAAATTTCCATTTCATTTCTTAGCTTTTCGTTTTTAATGGGGTCTCGTGGCGAAGTTACAGAGAAGGGAAGTCGCACATCGCTTCGAAAAAAATCACATCAAATATCACGTACCTATCATCTACATAAGTGTTTCGCTCTCGGCTTATGTTTACTGATCTGATTGCATCGACTCATACTTAAACTGTTACTTTTTTACACAACTTTTTGCCTCGCAAATTTCGCCTAAGTTCTTTCCGAACCGATACGACCTTCAAGACTTCAACAAAAGAGCATACCTACTTATACTTTAAGACCGGTAACGCACTCGTTCCTTGATAAACTTTATTAGTTTGGTTTAAAGTGTGAAAGGATTTATTTTAGCAGTAGGTACTCTTATTAATTGCAAATAACGTAACTGAAAAATTTTGATATGGGAATGAATAAAACATCAGGCACTTATTTTAAGTAACGTTAACCTGCCGTTCACGTTCACATATACGTATACGTACATACACGTTCTTGTGGTACGTATTACGTAAATTAAAATTGTAGTACAACAAGTACCAATCAAAGAGGTGCGTACCGCCTGTTTACCAGTCTATCCATCAAAGTAAAATACAATAAATTAATATACTCGAATCAATATGTCAAGAAGTCAAGGTAGGTAGATTTGTGGTACCTAGTATTCTTTTTTTCTTCTTTCTTTTTTTCATGAGGTTTTGTTATTGTCTTTGTATACTTACCTTTGTATACTGTAGGTTATACTGTAGGGTATGTTATATATCTGTAACCAAATCCCGCCAAACAGATATTAATTATAGCAAATAAATCAATCTATTTGATCTTTGTCTTGGCCTAGATAGCATTTGCTAAAGTAAGAATATTTACATTAAAGTCGTCCTAGAATACCAAATAGCTTTTTTTTATATTCAGCGCTACTTAAGTTTACTTAAAATTTCAAATTCAATTAATATAATTGTTTCTTAAGTAAATTCATGACAAATGCAAAGTTAAGCGTATACTTTCTGAACACAAGTTTTAAAAGAAACAGTCAATAGGCACCTATTTCATATTTAATCAATGATAGCTATTTTGATTAACAATTTGCGCAAGTGGGTGGGTTGGAATCTTAGACAGGAATTGGAGACCTACCCTATTTCTTAATCCTTCCATGGATTCACCGTGCTAGTGCCGGGTCCATCGCATGATAGATGGGGCCAACACATGCGACTGCGACAGCGCCTGGGACTTGCGACTCAGAAGTAGATTGAGGGAGTACTCCTTCCAAATTGTCAACGGTCACCTCCACTGTCATTTCTAACTCTTACTCATGTTAATTTGACGTTATGAATGGATATTATGAATTTGAAGAAGAATGTAATATTTTAAAACACCTTAATTTTTTAACGTTACTTGCATTTTAATATCACTACTTGATAGATCTATTTCTTTTAGCTGGGTCAGTATTGTAATCTATCAGCGCCTCATGCCGCTTTGAGTGTGGCCGCGGGTGGTCGGGACGGGTTTTTCCCTCCACCCGCTATAACGACCAGCCGCGAGGTGGCGATGTCAGCGTGTGCCGGACGTCACCTAAATGGAGAATTTACTCGGTGCCCGCGCCGTTGTGGACTGGCGCTAGGAGGGGTCCGGACAGCAGTTCCTCGTATTACAGACGCACAGTGGCACACCATGTGGTTTTAGTCGGTCCGATCCCGACACACCACCCCGATATAAACCCCGGTGGGGTGACGGCCCGAGGGGGTTTCCACACGTAAAAAAAGTATTGTAATCTATAGATTGTTTGATATAATCTTAGAAAAAAGTCTTGATAATCACTATAGGTTCGTAGGTATTTTTATTAATATAAATACTTTCTGAGCTATGAGGTTTCAATGTCGTCAAAAGTATGTTTCATCTTCAAATTTCTTAACTAAGTAAGATTTAAATTTCTGAAAATCACAAGAATATCCTTTGATGAACATTATCCATTAAAAATATTTAGAACACTGAAATTCCTCACATTCCTACATTTTTCGGTTAGTTTTTGTTAGTTATGTATTTTCTTATGCAGTACGGTCAAAGTAAGTTCTGGAAATTTAGTTAAAATACTATTCTTTAGATATTAAACTAAGTGGAAATATTTGTACTCCTAGTATTACGAAATAAATAAAATATTAGCCATGATTTATTGTGATCATGCAATATAGATTTAGGTAAGGTTGTTCGAAGGTTAGCCCTGACAAAAAATGTCTTCCCATTTTATTTATATTTAAGTTTAGATATCTGAAAGTGTAGATTGTTTTATTAATTTTTATAACAAAAGTTAGTACATCCTTTTTAAATAAAAAAAAAGAATTGTGTGTTACCCGTGTTACCCGTGTTACCTACCTACTGAAAGTGTGACAATAAAAAAATACTCATACCAACACTTTTGATCTACTCCTTGTTATCGTAAATCACAGTTAACAGATATAAGATGACTAATATAATATTATAAATATTAAGTTTATTGTGCACAATTCGATATCCTTTGGCGGATTTCTAATAAGTGAAGTAGACCACATTAAACTTCGCGCCGATTAAAGAATATTGTCTATAGTCGCCACAACACACGAAAAGTTCTAGAATCTGCCACTAATGTCGATTGTCGCTGCAGTCGGTAAATGGACGTTTGATGTGGTTGTTTGTCAAGAGTGTCCTATTGTCTGTTTACAGTGATTTATTTTCCAATACTATAATCCTCATTGAAGTAAAAGGTTTTAAGGAGTAGATGAAGGTGTGTATAATTCGGCTGTACAATTATTTCTTTGATTGATTCGTCCCGAGTGTGTTTTACAAATTGGCGCTTCAGGAGTCAACTGTGGAGCGAGTCGATTCATCTCTTTTATGTCAGCTGTACACAAAGATGTACGCATTTACACAGTAACTGTAGAAATAATGAATTAAATCAGTATTGTTTTATAGGAATAGGTAAGGTTTCGCTACTGGATGCTTATTAAAAATGTAATATACCCGTATTCCCTAGGTGTATCCACCGTACTGCGAAGGTTATGGACCTGTGTTGTCCTTATTTTTCAAAAGAAGATAATTTATCAGAAAAAGTTCTTTTATCACAACTAATGACCCCTCGCGGTGTTATTAAGGTACATTTTATCGCTTCATTCCTTTTTAGTGTAAAGATTCGTGTCCATATGTATGAAAACAATCATATCAGTGTTTACGTAGATAAGTTTGAAATATGGATTGTTATAACAGAAGTATTGGTCAACATTGCGTATAAATCATTGCAGTTTCGATTTTTTCACATTGTTTGGTAGTTGCAGTAGTTCATTTGTATAAATTAGTTATATTTTCAGCTTGTAATCAATTTTATTCTGATACCTCATATTAGTAAAAAAATGTTGTAGAAATGTATTATTTATCATACTAATTTTAGTATTTGGTATGTTATATTAGTATACCTTACTCAGACATGAATCTTACTGCGTTACATATAGATATATACAGTTACGTATAGCCTAGGAGAAGATGAGAATCTTCAAAAGAATGTAATCGGTATAGTTTCCGATAACTCAATTTGCTAATATAATTTGTGATTTGACCAATAGGTCAATTACATATCAGAGCATCTTGTCTACCTATTACTGTCTCCCATTTACATATGATACTGACACAGCTATACTTAAGTTTAATTGATGTTAAAAGTAGTATTAATCATGTAATAAAGTACATGCCATCTGCACAATTCACAGTTTGGGTATGTTTTGTATAAATTATGTTCTAATACAATGGAAAATGAGAAGTAACATTGAAAATTTGACTTTGAATATGACTAGAATGGATTAGAAATTGACCTAGATACATGGAAAACAATCATTGTAATAGGTGTTAAGGCCATGTTTCACAATTTTAGAGTATATTACAATGTTATTATGTTTTCCGTAGATAGTTGTCATATACGAAGAAATATTCTATTGATTTATCACTGATGTGTTGATGGTTCACACATCAAATACCTGTAACTTAATTATTCATGATTTGTAGAACATTCGGTAATGCTTAACAAATTAATGTAATGTAAAATTTGTATGTAATTTTTAAACTGATCGCTGCTTGCATTTAGTCAATAAGAACCTAACCCCTATTTGTGAGATTTTAATTCTATAGAGAGAGTGATAGCTGTAAGATTTAATTTTGTTCACTAATCAAATCAAATAATCACTGTGATATTGTCTTCTTGTAACTGTAACAAAACTTGTATTATACTGCATACATATGCAGTGCACTCCACTGAAGCTCTTAGAAGGCAGAAATTTGCTCAACTCAGTTGATTCTCGTCACTTTACACAAAAAATGTCTGCGATATCTGTAAAAATTACTCAATGTCATCTTTATAATTTTATTTTGATGTACAAATGATTTTATTGTTAAATTTCAATAAAATCCCAGTCATAGTTCTAATGCCACACCACACTATAGTTCTAATGTAAAATAAATTTAAATTATAAGATAAGTTTGTAGTAGGTTACTTATTTGATTTTAAAGGTAGATTTTAAAAAGATTTTAGGTACCTAACTATCAAATTGTTTATAATAATAAATCTATGTGGAATTATTGTTTGGGGTATTGTATGTTATTTATCTGAAATTATATATTTCTATTTAAGTTAGTAGAAATCCCTGTTTACTATTTTTTTTGAAAAGCCATAATATAATAGTGATATGCGAGTGTATTACGAAATCAAGATAAAATGTGTTAATTTTCAGCAATTTTAAGAGAATTGATGTCAACTGTACCACAGTTGCCTGTTAGTTAGTTGATATTTACTAAAAAAACAGTTGTTATTTAATTATATTGAATAATAATCATGACTTCACACATCTCACACATAAATATATATAGTACATATGTTTCTCGTCCGTGTGGTGACAGGGTGTCACTACACCCATTTCATCCCCTTGGGTGTCGTAACAGCCGACTAAGGGAGTAAACTACACATGATAACAGAACTGAAAAGAAAAGGGAAACTAGAAACAAACCTTATACTAACTTGTCTGCCCAGAATGGTATAGTGGAGAGGCCAATATCCAGCAGTGGAATATTAAAGGCTGTTGTTGTATCTATCGAATATATAGCCTCCACTGAATTCTCCTTCCCAATATCACATAAAAAAAATGGCCACCAACTCGTCCACTTTCATCTGTGCTACTTAAATATAATAATTACTGTTAAACTGCGAAAACCTGGTTATTTTGAATCAACATTTACAGCAGTTGTTGAATTTTTGACCTACTTTACCAATTCTACTGTTAAAGTTGTGTTTCTGATATGAAAAGACAGTATTTTAAGAGTAGTTTTAATGAGACAAATTAAAATTGTTAATTTAGTTAATAAGTGATTCTCCCAACGCCATTATCTCTAAATTTCTTGTTTTAATCCTAACACTAGACAGTTGTTTTTGTGATTCACAGATAATTAAATTGTTCTAGAGTATTAAACCCTACCCAAACTACCCAAAATCAGATTTGACAATATCCCTGCAAAGGTTGTCTGGAAGAGATGACTGTAAGCAATAACACCTATTGTAATACCAAAATGTCTGTACAATATATACTGTAGCAGTGTACAATAAAGATGTATAAATAAATAATAATATTGTTCTAAAAAAATGGTACTGGTTGAATTGTGTAAGTTACAAATTAGAAGCTATGAAAGGTACAAACTAGACTTATCACTGCAGGGCTGAGTTTATATATTTAATAAGTATTTTTATTGTACATCAACAAAACAAATTATCAAATCAGATATTGTATGCCATAAAATGCTCAATGCAGGCAACCTTTAGATGCACAGGACTGTAATAAATAATATGTTCGATTCTGTTGTCAATAGTTCAAAAAAGGCCTTAATAGGAGTAAAAGCAATATATGAATGCATTACCATAAATATACTATACACAGAGGACAATATGTAAATCAAAGATCAAAAATATCTAACTATGCACACAGTGAGTATATATGTAGAAAACTTGTGTTGTTACAAGTTTTTTAAGTTCTCGGGCCATTTCTAAATATACAACATGAAACCTTTGCATTATATGCGCTGCTTAGTAAGCGAGTAAGATAATTGTATTTGGCTATGATTGATTTGCTGTTAATAGATAATTGTGCTTATCACCAACATTAGACATTACTCCTAGACTAGATATTTCTTAAATATTAACACCAATACATTACAGCCTTACTCTCTTATATTAAGGGTGTCTGATTTGCATAGTTATATTGATATTTGTTAAATGTAAGGTCTATAATAGTCTAGATAGTTGTTTAATATTATTAATCTAAGTTATATCTTTGTTGCTGACTGTAAAACGCCAAATTAGGCTCTATTTCAAATAAATTTTATTGTAAGTTGTCTAATGTAAGTTTGTATGTCCTCACAGAAACAATATTTTTGACCATGAGTATTCTTAAAAAAAATTATGTACATACTAACGTGTTGTAATTTCAGGTGACAGAATGTCTCGCAACAAAGACAAGCATGAGGGCGCTAGCGGGCGCACTTACCACATCATGTCGGAAGCCGAGCGGGCGTCCGGCCGCCGCGGGGGTTGGACCACGCTTGAGGTGATTATTTACACCATTTCCATAGAAATGAACGTTAATAATAACTTCACACACCTCACACATGGCCGTCTGATCCCAAACTAGGCAGAGCCTGTACTATGGTAACCAGACTACTGATAAACATACATATATATTTCTAAATACATACATATTATAAATAAATTACACCCAGACACAGAACCAATCATCGGGCAACCGGACAACAGACGACTGGATAGGGTAGTTATTTGTGTAACAGACTGCTATTACAAAGGTCGCTGGTTTGATTCCCGCTCAAATCAAACATTTGTGCGCATGGACATGTAATGTTTGATTTGATCTGGGTGTCTGGGTCTATGTATAATATGTATGAATTTACAAAAAAAGTATATTTATGTATTTATATCACAGTACCAGTACAAATATGTTTATGCATATCTATATGTTTATCTACATATATGTGATAACAAATCACACACACATTCATTGTTTTGTGTAAACATTTAAAAAGATTATTGTTTTAAATACAATTTAATTTAACAAGCACTGAGGCTTAATCTAAATAAATTAACAGTAAAATGTGATTAATATACATGACTGTTAATTAAAAAATAATAACTTGAGATATCTCACACGGTCATTTAACCCCAAACTGGGCTGTGCTTCTAGTATGGTAACCAGACTATTGATAAACATACTTATATATTAAGTAAAAATATACATATTTTACATATACATACTCCAAAGGACCGAACCAGTGATCATCCTAACCTCACAATATTTCACCTTTTTTTTTTTCCGTGCGGAAATCCCCTCGGATACCACCGACAGGTGGCATGTCGGGCTCGAACCGACTAAAACCGCACATGTTGATGTGATATCTTCAGCCTTTCATAGTCCAGTGCTGGCTATAAACCTCTCCTTAGAAAGGAGGTTTTGGCTTAATATACCACACTGGCCAGACGGGTTGGTATAGGGTTTTTGTCAAGTTTTCCTTCTCTTTGCAGTGCAGTAGCTTGCAAGATGACAAATTTAGAATAGACTAACATTATTTTAATAAACTGGTGCTAATCCGTAGTTGTATAACGAAAGACCTCTCAAAGCTACATGTTATACATGTTTTTGTTTTTTTTTTAAACAACTGCACTAGGAGTATAATCTCTTGTGACGCAGGGGACTTTATAAACATACATGAAACAAATAACACCTAGTTTAAGAACGACAATTTGTGGATCACACTAAGTGTCGTTCCAGATGGTGATCGAACCCACATCGTAACGTAGTAGGAAGCGGCGTGGCGACTGCTTAAACCACTGAGCCATCCGTGCAGTCTAGTGTGTATGTTAAATATACCTTATGTATGATAGATAATAGTCTGGCTAGTTTATAAATATTATTTTTGAAATTTCCAGGTAACAGGAGGTGTGCGCGCCCTAGCGCCACAAATGTTCCAGCTGACGCATCTCACAGCACTTTACCTCAACGACAACTCACTGCAGCGTATACCGCCCGACATCAACCAGCTAGTCAATTTACATACGCTTGATATATCGAACAATAAGCTGCGATCACTGCCTGCTGAGCTTGGGGACCTAATACAATTAAGGTGAATACATATTTATTATAAATTAAATAGATTATAAGATTACTTACATGTTAACAAATCTCACACAATGCCATCTGATCCCAAATTAAGCAAAGTCTTAGATATGGAAACCAGACCGCTAAAAACACGGTAAAGTATTTCCTACTGCAGACATAAATATGTGTAATAAATACTACTAGTGAGTCAACTTAACTACTTAGAGAAGCAACTCTGGGCCGCGGTATGAAGGAGAGCGGAGTCCCCCTGCGGCCCCGATGTCCGTGGTAGTACCGGCTGGCTTAGCCTGCTAACCGGTACGCCCGTTTAGGAGTGTCACGCATCAGTTGCACGCGATATTTAAATACATTATTTGATTAACTCACAGTAGTTACTATTATCTCATTACTATAAATATTATAATATAAGAGAAAAAGCGCACAATAAAACTCGCGATGAATTTGGTTGGTTTAACATACATTTATAAATAATTTTATTAATATCGTGATGGAATGCTGCAGCATTCACATGGTTGTAAGAATTCAATTTTAGCGATATCTTTGCCCAAAATATGCTTAAAGTGACAACCCTTGCACATTTTTAGTCGAGGCAGTTAACTCACTATTAGTACAGATTATTTTAGATAAATTACATCCAAATAGAGAAAATGATCATAGCCACCACACTATTATTTGACCTGAATGGAAATTGAAACTACTACCTCCGCTTTTCAGTCAGGACCACTAACTATCAGACCAACAGGCCAGTCCATTAGTTAAAACATACAGGGATTCCCAATTTTTTTTCGACAAGATACCCTAAACTATAATTATGTTCAATTGTAGCGATCTTTAAACTGTCCTCTCTTATACCATTGTTAGTAATTAAAAGGATCATTACAAGTAGTATGCTTACAACTATTACAAAACCAGTATGTCATTTATAATGTTGATTTTATAAATTACTAAATCACCAGACCGGACAAAGGGCTAAGTTATATGTGAACCAGACAGGAAGAAAAGACAATTACAAGTGCAATATAATAGAAAATATCAAAACAGGGGAAATAGGTCAGAATAATCGAAAATGAACCACCAAAAATTTGATGAGATACTGAGTAGTAGAAATTTAGGACCTTGAATAACTTATTTTATTTTTCTTTTAAATTTAAAAAAAATATATGAAAGTTTTAAAAATAACTTGCATTTGCTATATGGTACCATATGTGGTGAAGTAGAATCTATTAAATTTTAATCCCACCAGTTTCTACTAAAAAATGTATCTACAGATTAAACAGGCTTTTTAAGTAATAGCTCGTATCTCGTATTGTACAATAATGATTAAAATTTCTTTTCGATCGACAAAAACAAAATTTATTGAACGAGTACTTTCTCTTTTCTTTAAATAAATTTCATTGAACGCTGTTGTTTATTTATGCATGAATATGATAAGTCATATCTATATGTAATGATAACTTTGATCAATGTTTCACTGATTTATCAAAATATGTATCAGAACATCCAAGAAAACAAAGGCTATTGGAAAGATAACAGTTAATTTATTAATTTAAAGCATGTATTAGTCATGAACGTTGAATCAGACTATAGTCCATCTAATCTAAGAGATACCGCAGTATAGGGAGGGGGTCAAAGAAATCGATTACTACAATATCCGATTCTTAAGAGATAACGATATCATTTATTCTTTGTATTTACAAATCGATTACAGTTTTACAGATTTATGTATGTTACTGTAAAAGCCCCGTATTATTATAATTTAGATTTCAGAAGACAGACAGATGAAGACCGGTAAAAGCAAATGAACATCTATAAAAATATTTGATCACACCTAGGTAAAGACAAATAAATAACACAAGGTCTAGTTTCAGGAACATATGAGTATTAACTATGGGAATAATAACTCGTAAAATAGGTCGAAAATATTCCTTGTACCTAATTTTATTGTAGTTAAAACATACATATAACAAAAAAAAAACATTGCTAGCAATTTTCGCCCTTAATAACATTTCTCTAAAAACGTGTTGTTTGTCATCTATAGATGACGCTAATCACGAATATGAAAAGAAATGAGATAATGAGGCAGTTCATAAGCTGAAAATTGCTTGATATTTTTTAATTGTCCTCACATATAAACGATAAAAAATAGGTGCTAGCAATTTTCGACTATGAATTTGCACAATGTCCAATTCCTTTTATAATGTTCGTTATCGGCGTCATTTATAGACGCCAAAAGACATATTTTTAGATAAATATCTTTAAGGGCGATAATTGCTTGTAACTGTTTTTTGTTATCTATATGTGTTGACATATTAAGAAAAACCCGTGGAGACGAATTTCAACACGACTGTACAATTTCTGTCTTAAAGCGAATCTGTCATAAAGGGCAGAAAACTTATTATATATATAGAAATGAATAAAATAATTCTAATTTTAGTGTTAGTTCGTTCTTACCCTGTTGATTTGCTACTATTAACCCAGTACGGGTATTACTTCAGCTAAATTGTTTTAGTTATTTGCCACCTTAAATAGACTAAAATATTGAGCGTTAGAATTTAATTTATAACTAACATCGTTTTAATTATATATATATATATATATATACAGGCAACTTTGTGATCATCAAACAATTATTCTTCGGTTTTTATTAAGAAATATAACATCAAATGCTCTTGTTTCAAGATTTTAATGTTTAAAATTCAGAATGATTCATTGCTATAAAATTATAAATACATAATTGAAACATATATGTATGATTCATGGTCTTTATGCTGTTCTATGTCTGGTTCAACCTCCAATTTGTACACAAAAAGATAATAAAGAAACTAAAATGTAAATATGTTTTGTAGGCCTAGGTTAATGGGTGCATATTATGTATTACATGACTAACAAACGGATCGTTATGATCGTGAGAATTTTTAGAATGACAGCTCACTCCCATATACATAAATGCACAAATTTAAGATCAGTGTCCTTGTCAGTTCATCTTTGTGTCGAAATGAGAACGTTCTACATTTTAAACGGTTAAAAAAAACTCAAACAGATTAAGTGGTATTGAGCAAGTCCTCGTATGTTAGTTTTCTTTGCTTGCACGACTAACTATTTGTCTGTCACAATGGTTTCATTTTGTCCAGATTACACTACAGCTCAACATCATAAATGATAGAGACGATATCTGGAGGGGGTATTACTATTTCGTATTACTATACTTTAGAGAAGGAAAAATTGAAACAAACTCTATACCAACCCGTATGGCTAGCGTAGTAGAGAAGGCCAAAACCTCCAGGATAAGTCGATGTCCATCAGTGGACTGCTAAAGGCTGTTTATGCTGATTTCTATCAATCTGGTGTCAATGAGTTTTGGTAAGTTTTTTTTGCTTGCTCACTCAGAATACAAGAAGAGTAACAAAGCCGGAGTCTCTTCCAGTAGTATTTTTTTTACGACAAAGTCGACATTAAAATGAGCAAAACTGCGGTCGGAAGCTAATAAATAATAGTTAAGAAAAACTGGCATAATGCGATTTAAGATGGAACCGAATATAAAAGTTTTACCGTCCACTATCTGTCTCTATCATCAGACCCACGTTACCGAAACCAATCTGCTAGACTCATCTAAATGAATTAGATGAGCCCACTGAAAGGTTATCTAGTTTTCAGATCAGCTCCAAGACATCAAATTGTTACTACATTTCATACAAAGTTTACATACAAAAATTAGAACTAGTTTTTCCCAGTTTTTTCACCAAAACAAGTCTTACAAAGGTTTTTAATGGACTTTGTACATAAATATATGTGTTAATGCTTATATATATATGTAATGGTTAGAAGGTCCCTTTTAAACCATATGGTAGCAATGTACCTATTCGTATGTGTCTTTTCCTCTTATATCGTAATTGTTTGTGTGATACCTGTCCTAGAATGTTTTAAGCTCCTTTATGGCACATTATTTCCTTGTTCTTTGTTTTGGTCACGCTGTTACTAAGTTCGACTTCTGTGAAGTTCCGTGGTTGGGTTAGCTGTGTTTTTTTTTTGTTAAGGTATCCAAGTTTGATTTTAAAGCCACAGCAATATACTTGTAAACGTATTGTTATCTAATATAGAACTAGCTAAAAGTTTATCACTTGCTTTTAAACGTTGGTGTTGTAAACATCAATCAGCTCGTTTGAGAGAAATATCGTGACGTTTTATACAGAGTGATAGCACGTTTAAAAAGCATTTAAGGCAATCAGTAACATGGCGTTCTATTGTTTGTTGAATGTTTTGAGTAATCGGTCGCAGTAAACGCGGTGACGTATAGCGTTCGGAGTTTTAGCCTTGACTTTTTTTTTTAATTTGCTCTTTTCTCACACCTTCGTTGTAATAGTGAACTATTAAATGTAAATTGTGAAGTTGATTACAGCTAAATTAGACCGACTTGATTGGTTGAATATAAATTCTGAATAAACGAACTATTTGCTTGAACTGTATAGAGGCCAATTTTGAAAATTCAGTTTAAATATCAAGGCAAATACACTCAATAAAGCACATTTTCAATTCAATGTACTTTTATTATCATTCTCTGTATTAAAGGGGATATATTTCCCACAATTTCACGACCTAGCATGGCCTCATTTGTCATTGATTTACTCTCATCTCTATCTGGCCTTTTCTTATATCGCTTGGTAAGCATAAGTAGCCAAACTTATTAACACTGCTCATCGCATAACCACATTTCTATTAAAGTTATACCTACCATAAGATCGACTGAAAGAATTTTTTCTTATGGTGTAGGCGGCGAACACTATTTGCAGGAAGGTTAATCAAAAAATAAAAATAAATATTTAATTTTGACTGAAGACAATGCGATTTATCCGCAAAATGTAGTGCTAATATTTCTATGATATTATCTATGATTTATGAATATTGATTGAAAAACGTATTTATAGGCACTGACAAAACAACTCACCATTGTTTGTCGTTTGATTGTTTGTTATATTAAATTGAAAATACTTTTATATATAATATTTG